TTTAGGCTCTTTCCATAATTTGGCTATTGTTGAGAGTGCTGCTATAAACATTGGGGTACAAGTGCCCCTATGCATCAGTACTCCTGTATCCCTTGGGTAAATTCCTAGCAGTGCTACTGCTGGTCATAGGGTAGGTCCATTTTTAATTTTTTGAGGAACCTCCACACTGTTTTCCAGAGCGGCTGCAAAAACTGGAATGGTTTAGAATCTAAATTATTAAGTGTTTGTTCTCAGGTCAAATTATGTGACAAAAATCTATTTTTTTAGGAATGCTGCAAATAATTTCTGATTTGGTTTCTGAGCTAACCTTAGTGCTATTTAGAATGCTATATTGCCAAAAGAGTCATTGGGAATAATTTATATTAGTGTTATTTTAATGCTTTTTATTGTAATGTATGTTATACTATAATATGCAAAAAGCATTCCAATTTCCTAAGTGTCATTTCTAAAATATTTTGTACAACTTAGCCATCAAGAAAAGCTTCTACTAGAAGGAGAGAAGTATTTGCAAAGTAAGGAGGATCTGAGATTAATGCTCACAGAACTGAAAAAGAAACAAGAAGTGGGCTTTGCTCTGCAACACGGTTTGCAGGAGAAGAAAGCTCAGTTAAAAATTTATAAGAAATTCCTCCAGAAAGCGCAAGATTTGACATCCTTGCTAAAAGAGTTAAAATCTCAAGGAAGTTACCTCTTAGAATGCACTAAAAATCCCAACTTCAGTGAAGAGCCTTGGCTGGAGATAAAGCATCTACACGAAAGTCTTCTACAGCAACTACAGGTGAAATGGTCAAAATAAGTTTTTTAATGATTGTCATAATTATGCACAAGTATGTCATATTTGTATATGGAACCATTTTTTGTTCTTCTGGTAAATCAAAAACTTTTAACATTTAATTTATCCTTTTTAGATACAAATACTGACTCTGTAAGGGTAGAGAGCTCAATCCAGTCAGTTTTGCTAGAGAAATCCAGTGGCCATTATTTGATTATTATGTTATTTTTTTCTCATCCATGTTCCTATTTTCAAGGGCCAGAAGGGTTAAGATTTAAGTATCTCTCTGAAGGTGATGGTGTTGAAGTTATCCATGCATCCACCTATCCGTCCATTCATCCATCATCTATTCATTGGAATAGTGTACAGGTGACCCATGAACAAAGTGGGGGGCTAGGGATGCTGAGCCCCCCCCACAGTTGAATATTTGCGTATAACTTTTTACTCCCGCCAAACTTAACTGCTAATAGCCTACTGTTGACAGGAAGCCTTACAGATAACATAAACAGTTGATTAACACATATTTTGTATATGTATTATATATCTATATTAATATATGACATGTATATTATATACTACCTAAAACATATATTACTTATAGTAAGTTAGGGAAAAGAAAATGTTATTAAGAAAATCATAAGAGGAAATACATTTACAGTACTGTACAAGCTCTGTGATAAGTGGATCCATATAGTTCAAATTCATGTTGTTTAAGGTCAGCTATGTATTCATTATTCTGTATAAACCTTATCAGTTTCCCTCCCTTGAGTGGTCTGCAGTAAAAGAGTTAAGAGATAAATGTCAGCTTGTCACAAGGGAATGTATTCTCATAAGAGAATTGTGTGTAATTCTTTGCATATGGGAAGTTAGATCAATATAAGGATTATGTGGGTAAGAAGTCTTGCTTATACAGATTGCAGGACGTGTGCAGGGGTAAAGAGATACCTACTTGGCTATAAATTATTTAGTTTAATAATTGCTACTTTTCTGATGAGGTGTGGCCGCCTTATTTTTTTATTCCAGGAAGCAGACCTGAAGATGAGTTTGTTCTCGAGTTAGGATTCCTTTTTCCTAAGACACAATGTTGGACTTGAATTCTTAGGAAAGGAATCTGAGGTTAGGCTGATCTCATATAGTCTCATTTACAACTGTGGGTATTTGATTTTACTAAGAAGGATAATTAAGGGAGCTGCTTTATTATGGATGTTTGTGATTTGATGATATAATTTGAAGGCTTTACATTTTGTAAACCTCTTGAGAAGTAAATTGTCCTTAGGAATGAAAGGAAGGCCACGAAGCATGTGATTTCAAAAAGCCATTTGTGGGGGGTGGGGAGGAGGAGATTTTACATGGAAATATCTCAAATACTAAAACTTTACTTAAGAACTCTGGACAATTTATATGGCCCTATTCCTGTTTCCAGATGAAACTTCATAAAGCAAGTGTGTATGAACAATTTAATTATTTTCTGAGGGAGGAAATTCAGAGACATAATTGGTGAATTGTCAGTGGTTTTATTTTTAGGGTTCCGTGCAAAAATTGGAAGGTCACGTTCAAGAACACCACTCATACCAGGTTTGCGTCGCAGACCTGAATACTACATTGGACAATCTCTCCAAGGAACTTGCCAGTTTTTCTGATAAGCCTTTGGATCAAATAGCAACTGAGGAAAAACTGCAGACACTGCAGGTATTAAACAGTGTCCAGACACGATGGACATGAAAACAAAATCAATATTAATTACGATGAACAAATCAGTGTCTTTGGTCAGAAATCCAGTTGTTATTCAGATAATTAAAAGTAATAAATTAAAGTTCTGGCCAGTCATAGAAAATGGGGATATTCTTCTTTTTTTTTTTTTTT